GCAGCGAGCACCCTCCAGGCAGCCTCCAGGCACTGGGCGGCGCGCTCTCGGACACCTCCACCCGCCCCCACCCCGCAGCCGCCTGGGTCGTTAGCCGTCCCACCTGAGATCCCCTCCACGTTCAGGTTCGACTGGGTGAAGGTGGACCAGCGGAAGACAGACGCAAGGGAGGGCAGGTCCAGGAGGGCAGGTCCAGGAGGGCAGGAAAACTGGATTCTTCCGGTGGGAAGAGGAGGGAAGCTCTGGTAAGCTTAACTGGACAAGGATGAGGGTGGACTGGCAGGGCGCAGACAGGGTGGAGGGGAGGAAGGGGGAGGAGCAGATAGATGGGCAGATGAGCCCAGGCATCAGGGGGACTGGGGATAGGAAGGGATACTGTGGTTTGAGTTGTCTCAAATCTCCTTTGGAAAGAGGTAAGGGTTGGGGGTGGTCCTGGTTAGGAGCATGCTCTGTGGCGTCAGCCCCCCCCCCGGGTGGCCCCTCTGTAGCCACTGACCAGCTATAAGGCCTTGGACTGGGCAACTAATCTCTTTAAACTCATCTCTAAACAAGAGACCTACTTCTTAGGGCTGCAATGCAGATTTAATGACCGCATGCATCCTAGAGGCTGTGTGATGCTTCATGTGGTCCAGTTAGTCACTTAACACAGTGTGTGAGCCCCTATTCTGTGCCAGGTACTGTTTATTCCATGTGCTGTGAATACAGCGGGGAAGAAAGGGAGACAGTGGCTCATAATCCACTGGAGGGAGAACAACAAACACTAATTTCTTCCATCTGTTAAGTGGTGGTAAGTCATGGAGAAAAACCATGAGGGGTAGAGACAGGAAGGGGTGGGGAGGGTGCTGCAGGCAGGGGGAAAGAGGTCAGGGAGGGTCTGGGTTGAGGACTGAGTGGGCTGGGGAGCCTTTGAGGGTGTTTGAGTTGGGTCAGGACATGCTCTGATCTCCGTCTTCTCAGGGTCAGTCTGCCCACTGTCGGGAGGAGACTACCAGGCGTGAGGTCAAAGGCAGAAGTGAGACCAGTTAGGAGGCAAGAGTGGATGGTGACTTGACCCAGGGAGGTGAGGATGGAGGCGGTGAGCAGGGGGCAGATCCTGGGTGTCTTTGGAAGGTAGAAGAGATGGGATTAGCTGATGGATTGCATGTTGTGTGAGGGAGCGAGGAGTCAGGGTGTCCAGATGGAGCTGCTCTGGGAGGAGAGAGGGATGGGAGTCTGGGTGAGAAATATCTGAAGCTGAGATCACCTGGGGTGCATGCATCAGGGGGTGAACAGGTCCAGGGCTGAGCGCTGAGAAGAGGAGGAAACAGCAGAGGAAACAGGAAAGAACCCACAGGCAGGAGGGAGGGAGGGATAGTGAGAGCTGGCATCCTGGAGTCAGGGAGGCAGGGGCTCCAAGGAGACTGAGTGACCACAGTCCTTTCACTGCCTCAAGAAAACCGAGGGCTGAGAACTGGCCAGGGCATGGCACCACCCGTGTTACCTGGAGGAGGGTAGCTTTGGGGTGAGGGGAGCCTGACTGCAGTGAGGTCAGCGGAGGTGGAGGGGGGAAGGAATTGGGATTTGAGGGTGATGAGAAGCAGAGAAATGGCCTGGGTCCTGGAGGCTCAAGGTGGTGGGTTTTTGGGGGTGTTTCTACTTTTTAAGGACGGGGGGAAAAAACAACTGCTTGTTTAAGTGCTGATGGAAATGAATCAGTCAAGAAAGGGGAAGTGCGGATAATGGGGGAAGTGACTTCGGGGGCAGGGACAGGGCCCTGCCACATCATAGCCTGTGTCCTGCCCCGCAGCTCTGTACCCCGGTCAGGGACTGAGTCAGCTGGGGGGCCACTGCGGGGCAAAGGTGCTTTTCCTGATTCACAGAATGGAAACTCAGAGGCCGGAGGTGGCCCTAGGTGCTGGTCTTGGGCAGGGAGACTGGATGACTCCCAGAGCACAGGGGAGGGTCAGGCTGGGGATGCGAGCACACAGGATGGGGGAGGGGGCAGGAGAGGCCATGGGCACGAAGCTGGCAAGTGAGGAGACTTGCGGCATTTCTCTTCGAATGGCCGTATTTTGTGAGTAAAATAGGAAGTCTGGGGGGCCCTGGGGGTGGGTGGCTGAGGTCAGGTGAAGGACAGGATGGTGGGAGGGAAGGTCAAGGGCTCGCAGACCAGGAGTTGGAGGGATCATCCGCGTGGCCGGTGAAGCCACCCAGAACTGGACAGGTGTGTGCTGGAGAAGGTGACAGTGAGTCAGGAGCTGAAATCTTCAGGGAATGAATGACCAGGACTTCCTTCCTGGCCTGCCTGGAGCTTAGAACCAGTGTTTTAGAAAAGAGAGGAAGAATGGTTGAGAAATGGTGACAGGAAGCAAAGAGGGACCCCCTCCTGCCTGGAGGTCTGAGAGAAAGAGCCCCCACTTTAGAGGGCTTCTCAAGAAGCAGGGTCCACAGGGGTCTGTCATCAGTGTTACAAGGAATGGGTGCCAGAAGACGTGAGAAAATTACAAAGCAAAGAGACGGTACAGGGTGTGGGGAGAGGAGACCCCAAGGGCCCTGACCAGGACAGTCAGGGCTAGACCTCAGAGATGCTGGTCGGGGTCGGGGGTGGGACCACGATGAGTGTGGCTGAGTGGGAGCGGGGCACCTTGTTCTTGCCTTTAATCAAACAGTACAACTGGCTGTGGTGTGGACCAAGGACCCTGCCACCTTGGCTTTGCTCTGGAGCCCATGGAGCTGAGACCTGACATCAGCCACAAGGAGAATGTGCCCCCTAGGCCTGCAACCCCCCTGAGGCCAGGCAAGAGGCTCATGGGTCTGGGTCAGAGGTGGCAGGAGCTGGGCCCCCTCGGGTAGCAGCAGCCTAGAGCTCCTTTCCCAGACAGGCCAGCCTAGGGCCTGGCTAATTCCAGAGGTTAGCTGCACAGGGCCAGCTGGGCCAGGACAAAGTCTTCCCAGCCTGGGGCGCAAAGGAGGGACAGAAAGTGAGGTCAGAAAGAGGGGGGACCAGGAGTGGGCCTGGCTGGGGCCTCTGGCAGATCAGTCTGTGCCAGCGGTGGTGGGCTGGGGAACGTCCCTGCGCAGGTGACTGGGGCTTCCAGAAGGCCACAGAGCAGGTACAGCCAAGAGTGGGAACAGCCCAAGAACAAATTCAGATTCTGATTCACATGTGTGAATTCACATGTTTCTCTGTTCTAGCTGTGTGACCATGGGGCAAGTTGCTTAACCTCTCTGACCTTTAGTTCCTAACTACAAACATTCATGGCCCACTCTACCTGCCAGGCCCTCCCAGGAGGCCTTGTCTCCCAGCGGTGGAATAGCCTGGGGACGGGGGAGACCAGCAGGCAGGGAGGGGCTCTAAGCCCCACCCAGCGGTTCCCAGAGCAGCTCAGGTTTAGCTCTGGACACACTGGGTCTTGCTTTCACCCCAGCTGCTGCCCCCAGCACCTCTTTGCTCAAGCTGGACACCAGGGAGTCATCCTTGGCCCGTCTCCTTTCATCCCGTTCTCGGCCTCCACCTCCTTAGCAGATCTGCATCTGTCTCCTTCTCTCCCCCCTCCTCCACCCCTCATCCCAGGCCCCTCACCTCTCGCCTGGGACTCCCTCAACAGCCTCCCAGCTATCTCCTTGCTTCCCTGTGCCCTCCCCCTCCCCTGGCTTGCCCCGTCCCTGCTCTGAGTCCCTGCACCGAGGCCAAGTCACAGCTCTTACACAAGACCCCCGGGTGTGCCCATCGGTCCACACTGGACGACAGGGCTCTGGAGTCTGTCCCTCCCCACCTGTCCCACCTGAGCACTGAGCTCCGAGTCCTCCCCCAGGACATAACTGTTTCTCCTCCCTTTAGAGAAACAAAGACTCCTGAAGAGCTTGGGTGTCGGACTGGCCAGTAGACATGGCCGGTGCGTGCCCGTGTGCCAGGCCGAGAGGGGAGGGCCTGCAGCCACACCCTCCCCGGGGACAGCGCTGCGCCAGGAGCCCTGCCGGGTGCAGACCAACCTGGCCGGCCCTGGCCCCAGCCTGGGCCTCGCCCTGAAGGACACCACTGGGTGGCTGATCAACTCCAGCTTCCGGCAGCAGAGCAACCTGCAGCCCCTGGCCTGGAGGCCCCAAGGGAGAGCCCAAGAGTTTGCCATCCAGCAGAGTAACCTGAGCATCAGGGAGACCAGCGTGGCTGAGTGTGGACGTCACACCAGCCCCCGCCTCTGGCTGGAGCCTCAGGAAAGCTGGCCCAACTTGAGGCCCCGGGAAAGCCCCCTATCCCGAGGGCCACTGGATCGCCCATCCTCCAGCCTGAGACGGTCCCGGCTGCTGGCCACAGACACTCGCTGCCCAGATGTCCGGCCCACTGCAGGCCTGGCCCCTCTCAATTGGCACACACAGCCGGGCCTCAGATCCCGGTGTGGCCTGGGGGGCTCGACCTCCAGGCTCGTGGGGGAGCCCCTCACCCTGGAAGACCTGGCTGTCCCTGCCTGGAGCCGGGCTTGGGCCCCATCGCAAGCTGCCATCCACCAGCTACTGGCCTCCGTTCGACGCCTGGAGCACGAGGCAGCCCATTTCAGGTGCCAGGCATCCCGGGAATCCTCAGGCCCTGTGCAGCGGGAGCCCTGGACCAGTGCTGGTCAGGCAGTCCCTGCTCACCCCCAGCCAAGCCAGCCAGTTCTTGCGTCCTGCAATGAGAGGAAAAAACACTCTGGAGATCTCAGGGAAACCGTGGGTTTCCCAGAGACCCCAGGGATCCAGGATGGTCTCTCAGACTCTCAGGCAAGCAACAAGCCTGCACGGATGGAGACCACTTTGCAGATGCTGCCTGGGGATGCCCTTGACCCTGAGCAGGGCATCCTTGGTGCCCACCGCCTAAGGCGAGGAAAGAAGTGCTCCCCCGGGACTACATATGGCCGGGGGCAGAGGGGGGACCCCTTGCTCTCTCAAGGTGTGGGCAGCAGGGAGGCCAGCCTCTGCTCTTTAGCCTCCTCCAGTTCAGCCTGGGACGTCCTCCCTGGGCAGGAAGGAGGGGAGGTGACCCCATGGGAGCAGATCAGCAAGGAGGGAGAGAGGCTGGCTTCCTGTCCGCCAGACACGGCCCCCACGAGGACTGCCCTGCAGGTAGAGACCAGAGGAGTCTGGGAGTGGGAGTTGGGGCCTCAGGGACTGGGGGGGCTGCCTCCTCCTGGGAATTCTCACTCTAAGCTGGCTGTCACTGCCCTGTCACCCTCCCTCAGAAAGGGAGGCCATGCAGGCAGGCTTGGCAGGGGGTGTCCAGTCCTGCTTGCTTCTCGGCCTGAGAGCTGTATCATGTTCCTTTGCTTTCCAAGAACAAATTCCGAAACACTGGAAGCCTGGAGTCTGAGGCTGCTCGGTGAGGCCATGGGCTGGGGGATGGGGACAGGGGCCACACTTTGGGACAGCTCCTCTCCCATTTGCCTGGAGACTAGGGCCTGATGGAGATAAGACCCAGATGTCAGGTCCACGCAGGATTTAAGTGGGAGGGAGACTCCTGGGTCCCAAGGACAGGAACATGGTGACAGCAGCTGCCAGGAATCTTAAACTTGGGAGGCTGCCCTGCACACTTGGCAGTCCAACAGGGCATTCTCCTGCCTCCAGGAGCTTTCTTGACTGGGATTCCCAAGGCTAGCCATCCGTAGAGGGGAGTTCTCCCCGTCTCCAGACAGCCCTCCTGCCGCAGCGTGGGGCATCACCCTCTGTGCTGGGAGGGCAACGTGGGTGGTGTGGAGCCCCCAGCTGCTCCCTGGGGCTGGGGGGCCAGGCCCACCCCTGATCAGCCTGGTTTGCCTCCAGCTGGCAGTGGGCGGTCCAGATGTTTCAGAGGGTGGTGGCGCTTGGTGCAGAGGCAGCGGGCAGTGGCGGCAGCCGTGGCGCTGGGCCGCCGGCAGCTGTTGCGCAGGGGTCTGCGGGCGCTGTGGTGGGCACTGTGGCTCCGGGAAGCCCAGATGGAGGCGGCGTCGGGGCGACACATGCAGGTCCTGCTGAACCGGGCCTTCCAAAAGGTTAGGGACCTCCTGGTTGGGCTGCCAGGAGGTGATGAAATGCTGGTGTTTTGGGGGAGGAGGCTCTTTTGGGACGCAGGTTGCTCCTCTTGAGTGATTGTCAGTAGAGTGGGTGGTTGTCAGCCTAGACACGTGAAAGGGCTCTGAGTTCAAATACTATCTCCTCTGCCACTTTCTTTTTCTTCCACATTTTTCTCGCTGTGTGACCTCGGGCCAGTTAGTTAACCTCTCTGTGCCTCAGTCGCTTTAGCTGTAAAATGGGATCATAGTAGTACAGACCTCTCAGGGTTGTTGTGAGGTAAAATAGTAAATATAAGGAACTCAGAACCCTGCCTAGCACATAGCAAACACTCTAGCACTTAAGTGGTTGCTGTTTTTTCGCTAGCGGTTTGCTAGCCAGGATTGGGAGGGCACTTCTGTTTTCCTTCCTCCTTGGGAAAAGGGTGCTTGGAAGGGCCCAGGTTTTGTCTCCCAAGGAAAACCCTTCCTCTTGGGCTCCATCTCCCCATTGATTCATTCCCATAGAGGCAGGAGAGTCTAACTGTTAAGACCACAAGCTTTGGAATCTGATAGAAATGTCTGGCTGCTGTCCCTGCCGTCCCAGCTGCCCTTCTGAGAGCGCACCTGAGGCTGCAGCCAAACTCCCTCCTCCCCTTCTCTCTTGACCCAGTGGAGAAACCTGACCCAGCAGCAGAAACAGGGGCAGCCCCATGTGCAGGCCGGACCAGGACCCCCACCCTCCAGGGCAGGCCTGGACCAAGGCTTCTCAGGAAGGAAGCCAGCGGTGGATGCTGCCCAGAGAAACAGGTAGTCTGGGACCCCCCAGGTTGGTCACTGTGTCCTGGGCAGTATTGGTGGCCTTCCCTCCTTGTCCCCCCTCCCTCCTCCCTGACTAAAGAATGAGGGTGAAATCAATAAACAGGGACAAAGATTTGCACAAAAGGATGTTTGTCACGGCGTTATTTATACTTATAAAAACTTCAAAACGGCCTAAACACCCAACAGCGAGAAAATGAGAGTTTTAACTGTGTGATGAACATTTGGCAGTTGTTCAATATGATGTTTATCAAGATTTTAAAAATTCCTCCCCCCTCTTTTTTTCTTTCTTTTCTGGTTCAGTAGCTTTATTAATGTTATTTCTAATCCTAACAGTAATGTGTGCTTGATCTGCAAAAACATTCAAAATAGCTGGAAGCACTTCAATTAATTTGAAAGCTTCATCTCCCTCCCCGTGTATCTGACCCCTCTTCCTGGAAATATAGTTTTATGGGTATTCGCACAGAATTTTTAATGACAAGGAATAAGGGTTATGACAATGTTAAATGAAAAAAAAAAAGGATAAAATAGTACCTAAGATTTTTTTTTCTGTGAAAGGGAAACAGTGCATAGAAAAAAGACCAGAAGGAAAAATACGAAAATGTTGCATAACAATGTGAACTGCTTAACACCACAGAACTCTTCTCTTAAAAATGGTTAAGATGGTAAATTTTAATGTGTATTTTACCACTATTAAAAATAAGAGTAAATAAATATCTCATCCCCCCACACCCCCCCAAAAAATGCTAAAATGGGAATAGTGCTTATCTCTGGAGCAGTGAGATTAAAGTGATTATTTTCTTTTCATTTCCTCAATTTTCCACTACAGCGATGTGTTGTTTTTGTTCTTATTTTTTAATTAAACAAATGTGTTTAAAATAATTACGTAAGTAATATTTATTTTAATAGATGTTTGTTGTAAAAAAAAAATCCAAACAGTATTGAAGAGAATAAAGCAAAAGCAGAACTCCTCCCCTCAAATCGCTTTCCGAAGCAGGAATAGAATGTACTGTCTGGAAGAGGACGAAGGGGACGGGGGCAGGGCTTAGTGCGCCTTTGCTCCTGCGGGAAGACAGTGCTGTCTTGGCTGGGCTGGACAGGTTGGGACCCCATCCCCTCCCTCCTTCTGCACATCAGTTTCTCTCTGGGCAACTTCACTCTCAGTCCAGGAAGTCTGAGGGAAGAGGCTGGAGCTGGGCCAGTTCCACTGCATTCTGGGCCGAGGCCAGATGGAGGAAACGGGGCAGTCCAGATTCTGCATGCTGTGCCACAGCTGGCCGGTGAGATGTGGGGTGCTGGGAAGGCGGGGCAGACAGGGCAGGGCTGGGGGTCCTGAGTGAGTGTTTATTGAGCCTCTACTCTGGCAACTTCCCAGACACAATCTCCTTTGAGTCTCATAGCGACCTCAGCAAGGCATCATGCGCATTTCACTGATGGGGAACTGAGTCACAGAGAAGGTAAGTGACCAGTGCGAGGACACACAGGATGAGAGGTGCACATCCTACATGTGTGTGCCATTGATGCTGGTACAGGCCGGGCAGAAGCCCGAATGTTAGAGTTGGAAAGTCCTCAGACATGACTCACTCAGGAGTAAACTGAGGCCCAGAGATGGAGAGCATCCCAGGTGTCAGGGGTCCCCCTGGCCCCCGCCCTCCCCTCTGCTCACTCTCTCTTCTCCTTCTCTTCCTCCCTTTAGTCTTCCTCCTGTGGTGCCATCAGAAGGAATGGGCCATGCAAGAGAGGGGGGTCCAGGCAGAGGCCTCCCAGGCCACGGTGAGGACTCAGAGGAGGGAGAGACCCCCCCCAGGCCTGGTGCTCTCCTGCTGCACATGCAGCCTGGGTGGCCCCACTGGACACCCAGCGCCGGACAGCCTGGCTCTGCAGGTAGGGGGAAGTGGACGAGTGTGGGAATGGGGACCCTCCCTTCCTGGGGCAGAGGGTGGGATGCATCTGGGAGATGCTCTTTAAGTCAATTCTTGACTCCCAGTATTGAGAGACAACGATGAAGATATGAAATGAAAAAAGCCACCATTGACCGAGAGGCTAAGACCTGCAAGACACCACCCAGGGGCTGGATTTAGCTATGCGCAAAGCTTAGTGCCCGCTGTCACTGGCCCTCGTGGAATCCATGGCCCAGTGCGGGGACAGACAGGAAATTAGCAGTCACAAAAGATGAGCGTGAACACCACCTGAGTTAAGTGTGGTGAAGGGAAGAAACATAGATCTCTAAGAAAAGATTTTTTTTTTGCGTTTTGACTTGTTAACTTTGGTATCATGGGATATTTCAATCTTACACAAAAGTAGAGAAAACAGGATAGTAAATCTCAGTGCACCCATCACCCAGCCTCAAGAAAATCACCTCCTGAGAAAATTTGTTTTGTCTGTACCCCAGCTACTCCCCATCCTCAACATAATTTGGAGGCGAATCCCATGCACCCTACCATTTCATCTGTAAATATTTCTGTAGCATCTCTAAAACATAAAGAGTCTTTCTATCAAAAACTATCTGGTCAGCATTCAAATTACCAATTGTTTTACAAGATAGATCTTGTTATAGTTTGTTTGAATCAGCATCTAAGTAAGGCCCACATGTTGTCATTGGCTAAGAAGTCATAAATTCTTTTTACTCTATGCACACCCATCTGTGGCTTTTTTCCCCCCTTGGCATTTATCTCTTGAAGGAACCAGGTTGTTTATCCTGTAAAGTTTGCCCACTGTCTGCATGTTGTGGATTGCATCTTCTGATATTCGAAGAGAATTTTTTTTTTTTTTTTTTAGTTTTTTATCTTTTTAGTGGAGGTACTGGGCATTGAACCCAGGACCTCATGCTTGCTAGGGACACACTCTACCACTGAGCTATACCCTCCCTGCTCCCATTCTCTGACAACTTTTAATGAAAGGGGCGGACTTCGACTGGGGTTCAGCGGAGATGGGAATGAGACATGGTTGACTAGTGCAGGGAGAGCAGATGAGAGCATCAGGCAGAGGGAACAGCATGTGGAAAAGCCTCCGACAGGGGAAGGGGAGGGTACAGCTCAAGTGGTGGAGTGCCTCCTTGGCACGCACAAGATCCTGGGTTCAATTCCCAGGACTTCCTCGAAACATGAATAAATAAACCTAATTACCCCCCCAAATAAATTTTAAAAATTAAAAAAAGATGATAATAATAAACTAAATTCAAAAAAGAAAAAAAGCCTCTGATAGGGGAATATGGAAAATTCAAAGAACGCAATCAAGTTGGAACACTGTTAGTACAGGGTTGGGGGCAGGGATGTTTCAAGATGAAGTTGGAAAGATGCTCGGGAGGGGGGGCTGATCATGCAGGGCCTTGTGGGCAGTGGGGAGGAGTGGAAATTTTATCATCAGAGCAAGGGGAGTGCCACTGGAGGATTTTAGCAAGGGAGTAAGATAATTTGATTTGAGATTTAAAAAATACCGGTCTGGTTACCATATAGGAACTGACTGGGGGGCAGGGGCAAGAGTCGAGGTGGGAGGCCACGTAGGTGGCTGCTGAGGCCAGCCAGGCACCTGGAAGTGATCGTGGCGGGGCCTGAGCACATGACATGCTGCATAGTCCTTACAGCAGCCCCACTTTACAGGGGGGTAAGCTGAGGCTCAGAGAATGCTTGGCTGGCCCAAGGCCTCAGCAGTGTGTCTGGCACATGGCAGGCGGCCCGAGGTGCCATCATTTCCATCAGCATCAGCACTTTCTCTTGGTTCTCCAGGTGCTTTGGGGCCTGGCAGCGTTTCGTGCAAAGAGGGACCCAGTACCGGAAACATGTGGCCAGCCGCCGGGTGGGGACCCTGAGGGTGTGCCTGCAGCAGTGGGTGCAGATGAAGCGGCTCCGGGCCTCAGATGGGGCGAAGGTGACCCAGCTGACCCTTTGCCGGCAGAAGGCGGGTGAGCGAGTGGTGGGCCAAGGGGCTCCCTTTCCCTCCCACCCGGGCACACGGTGTCAGTTAAGCTCCTTCTGCAGTCGCCCTGGTTGCTACATGGGTTCTTGTGGTGGGAGGCGAGGGGATGAGGAGCTGTCTCGGGTGCAGCCTGGCAGGCCTGGGACGGAGGGGCCACAGGGGTCTCTAGAGCAGCAGGCCTTGCTGGGCCCTATCCTCGCACCCAGTCGCGAGCTCCTCTAGGTGAGAGGTCTGGTCCATCTTCTGCCTAGAAGGATGTAGCCCCTGCTCCTAGGAAGCTCCTGATCTGAGGGGTACACGCAGCCCCTGCCCCTGGCCAAAGCCTGACAGGGGAAGATGGGATCTTTGAGGTGTCCTGGAAGGGAGGGTTTGGGGATGATGGGAGGGGGCAGTGCCCATGAGGGGAGAGGTCCTAAGGGCCCTGAGATGGCAGCCACCAATGGCTTTGGCAGAGGGAGGTCACTGATTGATCTCTTGACTACTTCTCAGGGAACATGGTCCTCCTCCTCAGTTCAGCCCCTGGAAGGGCCACAGCCTGTGGCCTGAGGGTGGTGGGACTGCCCCAGGAGCAAGGCCAGGCCTCCCTGAAGGAAGCCTGCCGGAGACTGGCCCTCCACCGGACACTGCTGCTCTGGAGGACACGGCTCTCCCAGCGCCAGCAGGCTGAGTGAGTGTCCGCGAACCTGTGACCTGGGACTGGGTCTAGGGGGCATGGCATGGGCATGGAGTGTCCCATAAGGAATGGACCACATCCTGCTCCTCGCTGTGGCCCCAGCATGGGGCCTGGCACACTGTGGTGGTTGCCAAGTGTGGGGCCATGGGAGGTGGCCCAGGAACAGAGACAGTGATTGAGCAGAGAGCGGTGGGGGCCAGGGTGCAGCCAGGGGCACAGACACTGAGTTCTACCACGGTGGCTAGAACCTGATGGGAAAGTTGTTTTAATAATCCTCTCCCTCCCCAGAATCTGGACCCACCTCTCAGCTATCTCCTGGCTAAGTGGGAGCTCCCTGGTGGCAGGAACCATACCTGTCTCCTCACCACTGTCTCCCAGCATCTTGCAGGTCCCCGGATAAAAACTGTAAATGAATAAGTGAAGGAGCCACTCATCCTCCTGCCCCCATTTGCCTTATTATACAGGTGGAGAGGCTGAGGCTCAGAGGAGCTGAGCAGCTTGCTCTAAATCGCACTGCGAATCAGCAGCAAGAAGGTTCCCATAGTGAGAGCTTCTTGGTGGTGCTTTTATATAAGACAGTCATTGCTGGGATTCGGAGCCCAAGGAGATGGTTGTGGGTGAGGGGGATGGTGGGGGTTAGGAGGGGTCAGCTTCCCTGATGGGATGTCTGGAGGAATGTAAGCCGGCAGAACTTGTCCTTGAAAGCCAGACACTTGGTATCTATCAGCCTCACACCCATTTGGTCCGCTTGGACTCTAAGTCTTTGAATGGAACTCTAGAGAAACTCAGTTCACCATGCTCTTTCCGAATGTAGCCCTCCCTCCCCCAGTCTGTCCTCTGGCCTTTGGGTACCAGGGTACAGTCCATATCTCCCTGAAACATATCAGGGGCTGCCCTGTACCCTGTAGCCTGAGATGAGTGTTTGGATCCCAAGTCTGCTGCTGTTTAGAATTTGGGGAAATGACCTTCCCTCAGGCCTCAGTTTCTCCATCTTTATAACTGAGCAGAGGCAGAAGTCCTAGTGTGGTTACACACGTGGGCTCTTGAGTCTTGGGTCGCTGGGCCCAGGGCCTGGCTCCACCCTCATCAACAGCGTGGCCCCCACCCACCCAGGGAATGTGGCGGGGATCACAGAATGGGTGCAGGTAGAGAAGTGGTCCCTGCCTTAGCTACGCATGAGTGGAAAGTCAGGAAGCCCAGGCCGTACCCAGACCGTTAAATCAGAATCTCAGGACGCCAGTGGGCACCGGTATTTCTTAGAGCACCCGGTGGTCCCAATGTGCAGCCCGTTTGGGGGGCAGTGGTCCCCAGCTCTGGCCCAGTGTTTGGCCAGTGGTGGTGCCCTTCCAGCCCCACCAGCCGGGGGTTGGGTGGGGCCCGGGCACTTACCTGCCCCTTCCTGTAGCTCCTTCTTTCAGGAGGTGCAGCGCCGGGTGCTTCGGCACATCCTGAGGGGGTGGCGCCTGAGGGCACAGGATCCAGGCAGGACCACCTTGGTCCCAGAACCACTGGGCGGCATCCTGGGAAGGGAGGCCTGGCGGGGCTGCAACACACCCCACAGCTCACTGGAGAAGGTGAGGGGCAGAGAACAGGGAGGGCTAGGGTGGGGAGGGGATGAGGGGAGGAGAGGATGGGAGGGGCCAGGACACCCAGAACTCCATACCTCCTTCCCCAGGCTCCCAGGGCCTCCGCTCTCCTGGAGACCCTCCGAATGAAATTCCTATGGGCAGCTGGGCGGCGGCAGCAGGAGAGGTGTCTTGTGCTCTGGCAGGCATGGGCCCAGCAGTCCCGAAGCACAGCAAGATGGCACCAGAGCATCCTTCAGAGGCGGTAGGGACCCTTCCCCAGGATAGGCGAGCATGCTGCCCAGCACCCTGTGTGTTTACTGTTTCCCGGTGACCCCCTTTCCTTGCCCTTTCCAGCTGCATCCCCTTGGGGCCTGCATCCCAGAGGGCTCCCTTCTCACACCATGGGCTCAGGTCCTCTCTGCTCCTCCTACCCTCCTACCCTGCCCTGCTGAGATGTGTAGGGGTGTGCGAGGCCCTCTGCAGGGTAATCATTTCTCAGAACTTCCCAGCCCTGGTGACTCAGCTTTGCCTCTCACTGACTGTGTGATCTTGGGCAAGTTGCTTAACCTCTCTGTGCCTCAGTCTCCCCATTTGTATGGGGGTAATTATAGTATTCATTCCAGTGGGAATCAGTGAGATAGGGACAAACACATCCCCTAGCGCGGTGCCTGGCACCAGCGAACACCCAGTTCACAGCAATGTTTATCATTAGGGCTGAGCACAGCACCTGACACTGGGGGTCTGGGGTCCCACTGATCCCCACCCCCTCAGCGTAGCATGACCCTCCAGTCCTCAACAACCCACTCTCCCCTGTGATGGAAACAGGGAGAAGAGTCACCTCAAGCCCCTCCCTGCTGCTGAGGGGAGGGGAGGGCTAGGCTGGCCCAGGGTGGACCATCCTGACAGAAGATACTCCCTTTCCCAGCGTCCTCCTTGGCTGGAGCCACTGGGCAACAGCCCAAGGAGCCCAGAGAGAGCTGGCTGCCCGCTGGGCCTGGGATCGGAGCTGCCGGGCCACGCTGGGTCTGTGGCGGCGGCGGCTAGTGCAGCGGCGGGAGGCGGAGCAGTGGGCCCAGGAGTGGGGCCGGAGACTGGAGCAGCGTGCCCTGGGCCACTGGCACTCGTGCTGGCAGAGTGAGTCAGGGACTGGGATGGGGCACCAGGGCGAGGGAGGGGCCAGGGTCTATCAGAGACACCCAGGATTCTGGGCCCTCCAGCACAGAGTCTGGTGATGGGAACCCCCACAGGGCCCACCCAGGGCTGGGTAGCAGGGGGCGACCTCGGGGCATGTATACTGTAGTCTTGGGTTCCTGTCCCCACTCTTCCATCCCTGGCTGTGTAGACTTTAAATAAGCCACTTGACCTTTCTGAGTCTCAGCTTACTCATCCGTAAAATGCGGATAACAGTGGTCTGCTCCTCATGGAGTGATTGTGGGGATTCTGTGAGACAGTCCACACAAAGTGCAGCTTCTCATAGAGTTACCATCGTCATCGCCATCTTTATCCTCGACTGGCGGTCAGGAGCGCCAGGTCTGAAGGCTGAGTGTCAGTGCTCTCAGGGGCCAGCATGGAAAGCGGGGATCTCTGGGGGCCATTTTCAAGGCTTCCCACTATATACAATGTATCGTATCTGTGGGCTGGCAGGTGGAGACTTGGTGGTTCTGGAAAGTTCATGTCCTGTTCACTGGGGACAGCTGCTTCTCTAGCCCAATTGTTGCCCAGGAATGTTGGCCCAGTGTTGCCAGACCTTGGTTTTTAAAGAAAAGCTGGAAATCCATGTTTTTATGTGAATTCTCCTAATTCCTAAACACTGTCAAGAAATTTCTTTAAAAAAGGTCTATGAGTTGAGGAGGGGAGGGTATAGCTTAAGTGGTAGAGCACATGCTGAGCATGCACAAGGCCCTGGGTTCAATCCCCAGTACCTCCTCTAAAAATAAATAAATCAATAGACCTAATAACTTGCCCCTCAAAATAGAATTAAATTAAATTTTAAAAAGAACTTAAAAAAAAAAGGTCTATGAGTTTGTTGGTCTGGTCACCAGTAGGACACCTGTAATGGAAGCATTTTAACCCAGTTAGGTGGCCTCCTCGGTTTTTGTTCCCACGTGGGTAGAGGGCCCTGGCTGGCTGAGCAGGGGCCCACGGTTCCCCGGGGCCCAGGGCAAGGCTGGCATGAGCGCCCAGTGGTACTTCAGCATCTCTCTGGCCACAGGGCAGCAGCTTCTGGGTGAAAAGTACCAGAGGTGGGTGCAGGTCCGGCTCCAGGGCCTGCGGAGGGCTGTGTTCCGGGGCTGGCGGCAGGCGGCAGCTCGTCGGAGACGTGCAGCGACTGGTCCAGAGCAGCTCCTACTGCAGAGGTGGGTGGGCCTGTGGGTGGGAGAGTGACGGTCATCCCCACCCTGAGAAAGGCCAGGAGAGAGCCCAGGGATGGGAAGCTGGGTGGCCTCTGCAGCTCTAGGGGCAGCCCAGGCTGGAGGCCTGGCACCCGGGCAAAGAAGGCATGAAGGGAAATCCCGGCCTGGAGTCATAGAGCCATGACTGCCAATCTTCCGTTATCTGGGCTGATCAGGAGGTGGGGGATGGCAAGCCCCTAAGCCCACCCGGTGCCCCAGGTCTCCACCTCCTGGCTAGGCCAGTCCTTTGGTTTCAGAGCTCACAGTTAAGTTGGGGAAATCAGTCCCTCAAACGTCCATTGTAACATGTCCCAATTCTGAGCGTTGTCTGAGGAGTCGTGGCACAGAGGAGTTCTGTATGCGGTAAAAGAGAGCGACATCTTGACTTAAATAGAGGTGTTCTGATAAAACATGTATACAGTTGACTGATGCCTGTTTAAAAAGAGAAGGGACAGGTGACCCCTTCACTGCCGAGTGGCTGACTTCTGTGCTGTCCCATCTGAAGGGTGTAGACATTTTCTTGGCCACCCGGGGAGTGGAAGCCCCCATCTCCCTCTCTGACCTCCTGCCCCAGGTGGGCTTGTCAGGGGAGGCAGGGCGTGGCTGTTCCCCTGGCCGAGTGGGACCTGACCCCACATCTGCTGGGTTCCCACACCCTCCCAGGCAGCAGCTGCTCCCCTGAGCCCAGGTGCCTGTGTGAGGCTCTGGATGAAGACCAGCGTTTTCACCTGTTACACATCGGTCCTTACATTTTTAAGGCACAGGGCTGCGTGTGCGAAACTGTATAACCTATGATGGTTTGCGGGGGATTTTCAGGTGTGATTTTAAATAAAGGTGACTTTGACTGTGACAACTGGCTGGGCACCTCCTCTGCTTCTGTTCTGCAGCCCCTTCCAGGCCCGGTTTGGAGTCATGAGAGATACAGGGATGCCGTGGGCCAAGCATCCAGCCTTCCAGGATGGCCCAAGGAGACAGGCTCTGGAGGCCACATCTGCCACGTGGTGGGAAGTCCCAGTGACCACAGCTGAGGCTCAGAAGCAGCGCGGAGCCCGGGTCTCCTTCACCTGCTGGAGCAGCCGCCGTGTGCAGGGGTGCCAGGTGGATAGGCAGCTGAGGAGGGACCGAGCCCACCAGGCCCCCATTGCAGGGCAAGCAGCCCTGGGCCAGTGCTTCGAGACCCGCCAGCAGGCAGAAGAGAGAGTCCGGGCCCAGGCCCTGTGCTGGACGCTGTGGGTGCGTGAGTCCTGCCTACACCAGGCCGGCCGAGCCCACGCTGCCCGGAAGCTGAGCGCCAGGTGGGTGCCCATGGCCTGAGGGCAGCCCTGCACTGTGCTTCCAGCTCGGGCCTTGAGCTTGTTTTGGGCTGGGGTGGAGGGTATTTGGCGGCTGGTGGCAAGGCTCAGGGGGTTGGTTGTGATGGGGACAGGAGACCCTGGTTATTGCAGCTGGTCCTGGGGTCAAATCCCAGCTCTGCTCTTTCCAGCTGTTTGACCCCTCTTCTGGCAAGTCTCTAACTTTGAAGGTCAAAGGAGGCTAACAGGCCTGCCTTGCAGGGCGTTTCCGGGGATTGGGATTAGAGCTAAGTGAGCAAGCACTCAGCTCAGCCAGACACACACCAGGTGCTATAGAAACCAGTGCTTGTGGAGGCGGGGAGGGAAAGCGGAGTTGGCAGCACTGCATTCTCTCTGTTCCCTAAACAGGATGCCTGTCTCTGTGTGATATTCTGCTGCTCTTCGTGCCCATTTTACCCTGATTTCTCCAGAAAAGGGATGGGGGAGGAGGAGCACAGGCATGGGGCTTTGCCTGGAGGGTCCCCCCACGGCAGGGCGCTGGTGAAGGCTGGGGAGGGCTCCCTACAACCCGCTGTAAAGCCCTGGCCCTGATGGCCCCTGTGTGGGCTCCTCCCTCCTCCCAGCCCACACTCCAGGGTCCTTGAGGCCTGGGCCCAGTCAGCAGCCCAGGGCCGTGTCCAGCGAACCTCCGTCACCCAGTTCCAGCAGGCTGGGCCCAGAGCCCACCCCAGGCCCAGGGTGGACGTCAGGCACTGGCTCAGGCTGGCCACCAGAGGGCACCTCCTGGTGCTGATGACTGCTCCAGCCCCGGGAAGGGGAAGCAGGTGAGGTGGGG